AATCAGACATTAGCCATGAGTCGTCCAGTAATAAAGGACGTTGTATTTAGCCAGTTTTTGAAAGACTTACAAGAAGATGATGATGGTGGATGTACGTCAGAGTGTTCTGACAGCGGGTCGGACAGTGACTATGTTGCTGGCTCCTGATCCGAAACAAGTTCCTCAGAAGAAATGGATGATGTTAGTGAGGAGAATAATGAAGTTCCTGAGCAGCTAAATGAAAGGACGTACTTCAGTGGAAAAGATGGAAGCAAGTGGTCGTACAAGGAGACGGAATACCCTCCGTGTTCCACTTCACAAAGTTGCTAATGCCAGTCATGTGACCACTGAAGTTGAAGCCTTTAACTTTTACATTCCAGATGTTATCGTACAGCATATTGTACATTTCACCAACACTGAAGGAAGACGAATGGCAAGAAAACAACCCTAGAGAAACACTGACGGGATTGAGATACGCGCAGTCATTGGCATTCTTTTCACCTGAAACACAATATGTCAGACACTGATGTATTGTGGTCGCAGAAGTATGGCATAGTTCTGGTCAGAGCGACAGTGTCGAGATTTTAAAACCTCATGTCGGCATTGCGCTTTGACAATAGAGAAGCTCCAGTAGTTCATAAAGAGAAGGGCAAGCTTGCAGTAATTTGAGTTTAGGTTATCTTTGAGACTGCTCCAGGTCAATACTACATGCCAGGATTAGATCTTATGGTTGATGAGCAGCTGGTACCGTTCCGTGGGAGATGTTGACTCATCAAGTATATGCCAATGAAACCGGATAAATACGGATTGAAACCGTTTTAGCTGGTGAAAGCAATCCATATCTTTGGCAAAGAACACGTGTAGGCCTTGGACGTCAGATAATTCTCAAACTTTGTGAACCATACTTTGGAACCAATCTCAATGTCACAACGGACAACTACTTCCGTGACCATGAAGTTGCAAGAGAGCTATGGTCCAATAGATTGACCCTTGTTGGAACTGTTAGGTAATATATTCGTTTCCTGCCACCTGAGGTCACTGCAAAGAAAGGAAGACCCACTCTTTACGATTCACTCTTTGGCTTTCAAAATATGACAATTGTTTCGTATCAATGTCGAAAAGCATATAATGTGTCAAATTATTGAGTACCCTGCATAATGATCAGGTGGTGGAAATGCTGAACGGAGAAAACCGGAAACCATTCTTTACTACAACAAGACGAAAGGTGGTGTTGACACCTTTGATCACATGGCTCACAAGTATACCGTCAAAAGAAAATATAAAAGGTGGCCTCTTTCATGTTCATGAGCATGCTGGATGTTGCCGGGATTGCATGCTTATACACTGTGGACAACAAAGAGTGAGGGATTAGTACTTCCTCCAATACAGAGAAGGATGAACACACCACAGCTGCAACGTGGACTCCGCATCGAACAGTTCATGTTCCAGGACCCTCCAGTGACGTAGATGACGAAGGAGTAAAACGCCGCCGATGCTGCATCAGTAGTAGGAGCAAACACCGGATGAGTAAAATCACTTGTCATATGTGTGTAAACACAATGTCTGCAAGAAACACAGTACTCAGACGGTCGTGTGCGAAGACGTTATTATGCGTTGTTATGCGTTATGGTTGATCATTATGTTAATGTTTTCAACAGTGAAAAACACTAACACCTATTGGTTCCATGTTTATTAAATGTAAGGGTTGCTGGTAGCGCTTAATCTTGCTCTTCTTGCACTGCTGGCATTTCTTTGGTGGAGCTCTCCACTGGGAGCCAAGCATCTGGCATCCAGTCCCGCTGGAGCAGTGTCAATGAAAATACAAAGAAAGACCTTTTTATGTGTATTTTAAGTCTACTCATATCTCAAAACGGATTGAGAACTTCATTAGAATTATTACTAAGTTCAAATATATTAATTGTCTTAGACTTTCATAAATTTTTATTTCCAAACAGTGACAAATGGAACTACAAAAAATCTGTAAAATGTTAATAATAATGGTAAAAATAACTTTCCCTTCCGCTCTGATGCTTGCTTGCAGTCACCACTTGGTAATTATACAGCGTAATTATACATAATGCTGCACTTGACGTTGGTGTAAATATATCCAAGACCAAGTACAAAAAAAGGGGAGGAGGAGGAGGGTCTGATAGCTCCATGTACAGTAATAAACTCTGTGAAATATGTTGGTGGGATGAGGGATAATTGTCAACGCATGCATCAAGCATGGTGTCGCGGGGTCTCATCTTGTTCCGGCGACCCAACACCGGGTGTTTATGTGTGACAAGGTTAATTCTACAGATAGAAACAGATACGGATTCCCGAAACTTTGTTTATCATCAGTGTCAGTTATGATGAATAATTGTTCTTTCTTCGAGGATGAAATGGGATGGGAATGGCTGATACATATTTCAAGAAAATATAGGCGTTGGAGTGACCAAAGCAAAATATTTAGTTGAGTGTTGCAGATATGTCGTAAGGTGTTGACATACATTCGTCACGACAGAAACATATATTCAGTGACAGGACATGACCTTCATGAATGCATATATATCCACGTGATAAGCTGGTGATCACATATATAATCATATTATACTCAACGTTTGAGAGTCCAACAGCTTTCAAGAACGTATGATGGACCTGTGTCTGTTTCTCCTTTTCATTGTTGAGATAAACGATGAACACGGACTTCCGCTCTGTTGTGTTGGAGTGCGGTCTACAGCATGGAAACCGTTGCTTAAGTAAATGTACACTTTATATGTATACTGGACATTTTTATGATTGATATTTTTTTACATTGTGTCAATGAATAGATAGATCATAATTCATAATTTCAAAATTTACATATATCCCTAACTATTTTTGTCCAGTATATTAGCTAATCTGAGGCAATGTCTTCGTGCGATTAGCAGGGGCGTAGGTACCATTATAAAAAAAAGCCCCGGCTTACACGATTGTCGCTAAAAAGGTTGGGCAAGCCATCAATACTATCTAAATGTAAAGCTTTGCAACCTATCGTGCTGACACGAAAAAAATGGCTTGCTACGCGTCTGATTAGTGTGATATGTAACTCCTAATTTACAAACTCAGCGAAGGTTGTGAATGAAGTTCAAGGAATGTCAGTTAGTGAGGAAGACGGGAAGAAAGGGGTTTGTATGTACGGTGAGTGACTTTAGTTTTACGCCACTCTTAGCAATATTGCAGGTATATGGTGGCCCATTGGTGGGCGGTCTGTAAATAAGCGAGTCTGGACCAGACAATCCAGTGATCAACATCATGAGAATCGTTCTGAACAATTGGGGTATGACGTGTCAACCAAGTCAGCCAGCCTGACCACCCGATGCCGTTAGTCGCCGCTTACTGAAGATCAATTCTAAACAGGAACTTCACGGGTATGCATGTACGGGGTGACATTGATGGGAAAATGACGTGTGCGTTTCAGTGAGCTTGAAAAGAAGAAAGCAGTTCGTATGTACGATATGGCGTCAAAGGGAAAATGATACTTGCGTTATAATGAGATAGAGAGGAAGAAGTTGTTCGCATGTACGATGGCGTTTCCTGAATCTTCGGCTATTGTATTGGAAGCAGTGACCTTGGCGACCGGTTCTACACATGGTCTGCCTAACCTTTGGCGACCGTTGGGTTACCACCGGTACCAAACTCTACAAGTGGTGTTCTGGAACACATACCCTGGCTATAGTTCTATTCACGTTCTTCTCCAGTCTGTCTCGCACTCCCTGAATCACATCCAGTCCATGACTTTCTGCAACTAAAAGCCCCGTAGGAAACCATTCAAAAATCTGAGCAGGTCCGGATGGGCTCACTTGGGCTCCTGCTCAGTTTAAACGGATTTGGTTAGTTCTTTTACCATGATATATATTCTGAGACTAAGCTTTAGTCTTGATGTTCCCTGAGTATTGATCCATGGTTCTTCATGTGGTGGAATTGAAGAATTAATAATGAAATGCATATGGTTATTTGGATACCATTTATGATTCTCTTTTGCTTATGTGCAAATATCTTTTCTGACATGCTATGTTCGAATTTCAACCTGTACAGCTCATGTTTGTTCGCTTTAAAATGAAATCATATTACCACCATAAGACCATTTCTGTGCAGTTAATCCGAAAATGTGTTTTAAAGTAAGTGAGACTGATGATAAAATAGGGTGAGGTGTGATAGGTGTGTGACACTAAGGATGTGTATGACATGTATAGTATGTTCTTATCTTGAGGACCTTGATCTGTCTATCAGCCTATTTATTTCCTATTAGCATCAATGCATGTGTTAACCTTAGTTTCTGTTCAGTTGACTTCAGCAGCCTGTGCTCTAATCATCTCACAACAGCCGAGCAATGCATGCTGGGATCAGCCCCAGCCCTCATTTTTTATTCTAAGGTAGAACCTTGCAGTGCATTCTGGGATCAGAGGCAGTCATCCTTTTTGGCTCTAAGAGAGAGCCTTGTAATGCATGCTGGGAGCAGAACTGTTTCTGCTTCTTCGACCCCTACCACAGCAATGACATGCTTGGATCAGACTAGGAATATTTCACTGAAAGTACACATCTAAATCAACACTTGTGTAGTAAAGATGACAATATGTGTATACTTCCTGTTAGTTTAATGTGTTCATAAAAATATATATATATATATTTACACATATCACGTTTCTTTGAATGATATGATTATCGGTACCCATCCAAGGAATGCCCTGCTTATGATTCCCGGTTCATAGGCGCCATACCTGTTCTTGAGATTTCACCAAACTAGTAACTTAAACACCCATCACTTTAACCCCACATAAGTCTGGATACATTGACATTCAGCTGGCCAGGAGTTCTAGGTTTTGTCTAAAGAGAGTTGCTTGATTATAAGCCAGTGACCATTAATAGTACCTGGTCAGGTAGAGTTTATACTTCATACACTAAATATGATGGTGATAAAAATGACAAAAGTCTTTTTATATGATATCCCTCAACCAAAGAGTGATACAAGGCATTTGTGAACAGGTTATACATTCATCACTGTTCACCAGCTGTACATGTGAAGACCTGACAGCACCAGGGACAGATCCATCAGCTGTACATGTGAAGAACTGACAACACCAGGGAGAGATTCACCAGCTGTACATGTGACTGACTGACTGACTGAGTTTGGTTTTACGACGCTTTTAGCAATACTACAGCAACATCACGGCGAGGGATACCAGAAATGGGCTTCACACGTTGTACCCATGTGGGGATTCGAACCCGGGTCTTCGGCGTGACGAGCCAACGCTTTAACCACTATGCTACCCCACCGTCCCCCTGTACATGTGAAGAAATGATAGCTCCAGTAACAGATTCACCAGCTGTACATGTGAAGAAATGACAACACCAGGGAGAGATTCACCAGCTGTACATGTGAAGACCTGACAACACCAGGGAGAGATTCACCAGCTGTACATGTGAAGACCTGACAACACCAGGGACAGATTCACCAGCTGTACATGTGAAGACCTGACAGCACTAGGAAGAGATTCACCAGCTGTACATGTGAAGACCTGACAGCACCAGAGAGAGATTCACCAGCTGTACATATGAAGACCTGACAACACCAGGGACAGATTCACCAGCTGTACATGTGAAGACCTGACAACACCAGGGAGAGATTTACCAGCTGTACATGTGAAGACCTGACAGCACTAGGAAGAGATTCACCAGCTGTACACGTGAAGACCTGACAACACCAGAGAGAGATTCACCAGCTGTACATGTGAAGACCTGACAGCACCAGATACAGGTCCACCAGCTCATCTCAGATCGTGCAGAGCTTGCTGGTATCACAAGTCATGACCATGTTATTATGGCTCCATATACATAAATATAACATCTTTCCCAAAGTCTTCAGTATCATTTGTGACAAAGTAAAACGTTTGCATCAGGAATCACGAGGAAGCCGAAACTATGAGCTGGGATACTGATGGAGCTGGTTGACCCAAGACTGGGGGTCAGTGACGGCAGGTGCTTGTCCACCAGCTGAAGAGTCTTGTTGTTCAGTTGGACAAATCTGGAAATAAAACACCAGAATAAATGCAGCTTTTGAAAAATAATCAGTCAGTCTTACCTAATGCCATCAACAGTTATTCTAAACATTCAAATTCAGTCATGATAAATGGAAACTTTGGTTGCTGGTAAGGGCATCACATCATCCCATGTCTCTTGTCTGATGTTTATGATGAACAGTGTCTGTGGGTATCAATTTCTACTTCTAAAGAAACCAAAAATGGAATTGAGGATAACGGTGTACATGTTCCTTCTAACACAGATGTTTGTTATTTCCCTGGAGGTAAGGCACATGTTTGACCTACTTTGATTTGAGTCCACCTCCACCAGGGGTCAACCAGTACACATGCAGCGTCATGTTTCCAAACTGGGGTAGAGACAGGGTTGTGTCGGCGTTGTCAATGTTCATGGCGTACACAGTGAGGCTGCCAGGCTTGTAGTTGTAGATGCTGCTGAAACATCAGGGTTGTCAATGTGCTCATTGTTCCATAACTGCAACATCCTCTACAAGGCCTCAAACTACTTATCAACAATAACTTGCAAGTATAATCTTGCATAGTATTAAAGATTACATTTCATTGAAACAATGTCTGAAGTTATTCATATAGGCTATAGCTTTTAGGACCATGACCAAAGCAAAGTCATGCCTTGCTTCTATACATCATAAAATAGTTTCCGCCTTCTTGACTTTAACTGTTTTTTAATTTACTCTCATGACCAAATCTGATTCCTGCTGAACTGTAAAATATCATACCATGTCCTGAGGTTTCACTAAACAGAAACTCTACCTGTTGGTGTTGGTGCAGTGGGCGTACACCCTAAGGCGGTCAGTTGACGAGGTTGATGTCACATGGAACACCTGCTTCCCCACCAGCCTCTTGTACAGCAGCGTCAACCAGTAGTCCTAAATAATAATAATAATAATAATAATAATGGCTACTTATAAAGCGCCTTTTTCCACGCACTTGTGCATGCTCAATGTGCTAATGCATTATGCCTGTGAGGCGCTAGGAGGTTAACAGTCACATGACTTATCCCACCGGGTACCCATTCACTGCTGGGTGAACAGAGGCAATTCATGAACAAACTCACATAAGGTGAAACCACATGTATCACGTCTGCTTCGTTGTGAGCAGGACCGAAGTCCTAGAAACTCTCAGTTGAGTCAAGCTGCCAAACAGTCACCCATCCAAGGACTGTCCGCGACCAACATTGGTTAACTTCAACTGATGTGTGACCAGAGGTGTATTCACAGGACCACACACCAGTGTGACCAGCACACAAGAAAACAACACAACAGTCAAATGAAGCATAGTGCAGTGTCCACCAATAGTCCTAAACAAAACAGCACAACACTCAAGGTGTGAGTCTCATGCAGGCCTTACAGTGTACAAAGTAAAGAGTCACACCACTGTACACTCAATTTGACTGATGACTGTCACTGACAATAAATACAATGAAAATATTCATCACTAAATAAATGTATTCTGTGGAAGGAATACAAATTTCATTGCAAAAAAACCAAAACACCATGAACTGACCTAAAACTGAATGAAAAGTAACTGTGTCCCAAGTGCTGCCATTTCCTCTCCCAAGTCCTCAACAGATCAGACTGAGTAGGTTAGTTGAATAACCTCACGACTCTGAATATTACAAACATACGTTTCTGGAAAGCATTCTTTACAGAAAAATAGACTCACAGGGTTTGGGTCCGAGAGTGTCTAGGTCCAGCAGAGCGTAGCTGCCCTTGTAGAAGCTCTGTCTGAAGACTCCCTTTACTCCATAAAGGGCACTCAGGCCCAGCTTGTCCAGCCACCTGCAGTGGAAATGTTCATACTTACACTAAGTATTTGCATATTTTATCATTTGGGTAACAGATCGAACAACTGTAAAACTTAGGAAAGTTAAAACAGTCAAGAGGTATAGTTACCAAAGTAACCGATACAGTAAATCTCCCTCAGTATCATTCCAGTTACTTGACTTCATTCCAGTTACGCTGAACAAGCCTATGTCTACTTGTACAAAACTGTCTTACATGAATCCCGCCACATATGCATCTGAGAGACCTTCAGCCCCTCCACCAAATGCGGAGGCTGTCTCTCCAATCCAGACGGGAACCCCTTGGGCGTGGGCACGGGCAGTTGTGACAGCATCGGTCAGATCTGTCTTCAGACTGTCCAGGATGGAGGCATTGATGAAGTCCCCAACCGCAGCTGTGCGGCCGTCTATGTAGTAACTGTCAACACAACATGGGCAAGTCTTACCGTGAACAACTGTAGTCCTGCTGCTCAACAATGTACACAGTGTTTCAGTGGGTGTCGATCTACAAGAGTCACAAGGATTGGATGTGGGCTTATGGCATGCACAATCTGTCTGCATACTGTCTGCCCATATCTTTATTATTGTTATCAACTCTTCCCTTCTTTGAAAAGTCTGAGTTTTGATCACTTGAGTTTAGGAGAATGTTCTGCCAACAACATATCCTACAGCACATTGTTGCACTGAACCTATAGTCCCCACATACTCAACAGCACTAAACCTATAGTCCCCACATACTCTACAGCACTAAACCTATAGTCCCCACATACTCTACAGCACTAAACCTATAGTCCCAACATACTCTACAGCACTAAACCTATAGTCCACACATACACTACAGCACTAAACCTATAGTCCCCAAATACTCTACAGCACTAAACCTATAGCCCCACGTACTCTACAGCACTAAACCTATAGTCCCCACATACACTACAGCACTAAACCTGTAGTCCCCACGTACTCTACAGCACTAAACCTATAGTCCCCACATACTCTACAGCACTAAACCTATAGTCCCCATGTACTCTACAGCACTAACCCTATAGTCCCCACTTGCTCTACAGCACTAAACCTGTAGCCCCATATACTTTACAGCACTAAACCTATAGTCCCCACATACTCTACAGCACTAAACCTATAGTCCCCACATACTCTACAGCACTAAACCTATAGTTCCCACATACTCTACAGCACTAAACCTGTAGTCCCCACGTACTCTACAGCACTAAACCTATAGTTCCCACATACTCTACAGCACTAAACCTATAGTCCCCACATACTCTACAGCACTAAACCTATAGTTCCCACATACACTACAGCACTAAACCTATAGTCCCCACATACTCTACAGCACTAAACCTATAGTCCCCACACATACACTACAGCACTAAACCTATAGTCCCCACATACTCTACAGCACTAAACCTATAGTCCCCACATACTCTACAGCACTAAACCTATAGTCCCCACATACTCTACAGCACTAAACCTATAGTTCCCACATACTCTACAGCACTAAACCTATAGTCCCCACATACTGTACAGCACTAAACCTGTAGTCCCCACATACTCTACAGCACTAAACCTATAGTCCCCACATACTCTACTGCACTAAACCTATAGTCCCCACATACTCTACAGCACTAAACCTATAGTCCCCACATACTCTACAGCACTAAACCTGTAGTCCCCACATACTCTACAGCACTAAACCTATAGTCCCCACATACTCTACAGCACTAAACCTATAGTCCCATATACTCTACAGCACTAAACCTATAGTCCCCACATACTCTACAGCACTAAACCTATAGTCCCCACATACTCTACAGCACTAAACCTATAGTCCCCACATACTCTACAGCACTAAACCTATAGTTCCCACATACACTACAGCACTAAACCTATAGTCCCCACATACACTACAGCACTAAACCTATAGTCCCCACATACTCTACAGCACTAAGCCTATAGCCCCAGATACACTACAGCACTAAACCTATAGTTCCCACATACTCTACAGCACTAAACCTATAGTCCCCACATACTCTACTGCACTAAACCTATAGTCCCCACGTACTCTACAGCACTAAACCTGTAGTCCCCACGTACTCACTCTACAGCACTAAACCTGTAGTCCCCACGTACTCTACAGCACTAAACCTATAGTCCCCACATACACTACAGCACTAAACCTGTAGTCCCCACGTACTCTACAGCACTAAACCTGTAGTCCCCACGTACACTACAGCACATTGTTGCACTAAACCTATAGTCCCCACGTACTCTACAGCACATTGCAGTCTACAAGATATACACCTTATTCCCCCAGTTGTCAGTGGCAAACTTACTGATGAAATGTTGCCCTGTCCACCACTCCACCACCACCAGAGGCCAGGAATCTGGAAATATAATTTAATCTTTCACACACTGCCTTGATCTATCGTTCTGCTCAATAATGCGGTGCAGGTACACACCACATCAGTCCATGTATCCAGGTGGACGGATATATGCAACGCTAATTCACCGCTATGTGTACATGCTGACAGACAAGCTTTGGAGAAGGTCTTACACTGCTTTAAGACGCTGGAAATGTTCTTTACACACTGTCCTCATGTAGGGAGTCAAAACTGGGCCATTGCTTGAATTGTGGATGTGTCAGTGATGGCAGGATCGAGCTGGTATTACTAGTTTATTCTAGCGATCTATCCAGGAACAACGGGTGGTATTACATACTCTAGCCAGTCTAGCCAGGCACCACTGTGGTGGTATTGCTGACTTACTCTTCAAAATAATGCAGAACATTCTTCTTTTCGACCTTTGTGACATCTGGCCCCACCAGGAGAGTTGACTGGGAATACCTTCCCATGATCTGTCTCAATTGTACAAAGTCTCTTGCCAAATCAGCAGCTGTCACTGTCCGATCAAACACATGATGGAAGGCATTTGGCTCTGGAAGGGAATAAGCATGGTTCAGACACAGTGATACAGGAGAGGTGGATCAGACACAATGAGGAAGGAAAGGATGGTTCAGACGCAGTGAGAAAGGAGAGGATGGTTCAGACACAATGAGGAAGGAGATGATGGTTCAGACATAATGATAAAGGAGAAGATGGTTCAGACACAATGATAAAGGAGAGGATGGTTCAGACACAATGATAAAGGAGAAGATGGTTCAGACACAATGAGGAAGGAGATGATGGTTCAGACATAATGATAAAGGAGATGATGGTTCAGACACAATGATAAAGGAGAGGATGGTTCAGACACAATGAGGAAGGAGAGGATGGTACAGACATAATCAGAAGATGGTTCCAGAAACAATGAGGAAGTAGAGGATGGTTCAGACACAATCAAAAAGGAGAAGATGGTTCAGACACAATGATAAAGGAGAGGATGGTTCAGATACAATGAGGAAGGAGAGGATGGTTCAGACACAATGATAAAGGAGAGGATGGTTCAGACACAATGATAAAGGAGAGGATGGTTCAGACACAATGAGGAAGGAGAGGATGGTTCAGACACAATGAGGAAGGAGAGGATGGTTCAGACATTATGAGGAAAGAGAGGATTGATCAGACACAATAAGTAAGTAGAAGAAGGATCAGACACAATGATAAAGGAGAGGATGGTTCAGACAAAATGCGGAAAGAGAGGATTGTTCAGACATAATGAGGATGTAGAGGATGGTTCTGACATAATGAGGAATGAGAGGATGGTTCAGACACTATGCGGAAAGGGAGGATGGTTCAGACATAATGAGGATGAAGGAGGAAGGATCAGACACAATGAGGAAGGAGAAGATGGTTCAGACACAATGAAGATGTAGAGGAAAGATAAGACACAATGAGGAAGTAGAGGATGGATCAGACACAATGAGGAATGAGAGGATGGTTTAGACACTATGCGGAAAGGGAGGATGGTTCAGACATAATGAGGATGTAGAGGATGGTTCTGACACAATGATAAAGGAGAAGATGGTTCAGATACAATGCAGAGGGAGAGGAAGGATCAGACACAATGAGGAAGTAGAGGATGGATCAGACACAATGAGGAATGAGAGGATGGTTCAGACACTATGCGGAAAGGGAGGATGGTTCAGACATAATGAGGATGTAGAGGAAGGATCAGACACAATGAGGAAGGAGAAGATGGTTCAGACACAATGAAGATGTAGAGGAAGGATCAGACACAATGAGGATGTAGAGGATGGATGAGACACAATGAGGAATGAGAGGATGGTTCAGACACTATACGGAAAGTGAGGATGGTTCAGACATAATGAGGATGTAGAGGAAGGGTCAGACACAATGCGGAAAGAGAGGATGGTTCAGACATAATGAGGATGTAGAGGAAGGATCAGACACAATGAGGAAGGAGAGGATGGTTCAGACACAATGCGGAAGTAGAGGATGGATCAGACACAATGAGGACACAATCACGAGGAAGAGGATGGATGGTTCAGACATAATGAGGAAGTAGAGGAAGGGTGGATGAGACACAATGAGGAAAGAGAGGATGGTTCAGACACAAATGAGGATGTAGAGAGGATGTAGGAGGATGGACACAACAAGGAAGGAGAGGATGGTTCAGACAACAATGAAGAGAGGATGGATGAGACACAATGAGGAATGAGAGAGGATGGTTCAGACATAATGAAAGGTGAGGATGGTTCAGACATAATGAGGATGTAGATGGTTCAGATATAATGATAAAGGAAGGTCAGACACAATGATAAAGGAGAGAGGATGGTTCAGACATAATGAGGATGTAGAGGAAGGATCAGACACAATGAGGAAGGAGAGGATGGTTCAGACACAATGCGGAAGGAGAAGATGGTTCAGACACAATGAGGAAGTAGAGGATGGATGAGACACAATGAGGAAGGAGAGGATGGATGAGACACAATGAGGAATATTTATTGAAAGGTAAACAACTGCAGTGACAACAGTGAAATCCTGAAACATTTGGAAGCTGTGATATTTTAGAAGGACATGATTCTGGTGGTAAATAGGTTCAGGGTATTTATCACCAGAGAAGGGAGACATAATTTACTGGATACTGTAGGATAGTCTTGTAACTATCACCTCCCATAAGCAATCAGTACAATTACAATAACACAAATATTATCATACCATTGCCGAGTTCAAATCCTGCAAGCTTGTATCCTCTCGACTTGGTGTAATTCATTAACAACATGGCATTTGCTGGATCCCAGGATCCATGTTCTCGGATCAACACATTAAGGTCAAAGATCATCTCCCAGCCAACTGCTGCTGAAAACTTGTTGATCAAATCCCAGTCAGCCGCTGTAACCAGATATATGTTAAACTATCAGTGAAAATATTCCATTTGATTTTCAATTCTATTAGTTCATTGTAACATCAACAAAACCTCCAACCAGTTATCTTTCAACATGGTAATGTTTAGACTATGTACATCTTTAGGAAATACAGCATCACTGTTCTGTTGTTACAAAATTTCCATTTTATATAACAATAGTTGATGTCTCAACACACAAGAAGTGAGCAGTTTAAGAGAATATAGACAATACCTGACAGCCATCTAAACTACTGAAACAGAACCATTCACTATAACCATAAGTCTCTGGAAAATCAGAAAAGACTTGGCAAGAGTATACAGACAATGAGACTCTATGTCTTTTGTACATGTGATGCATTATGATTTTGCTTATAAACCTCCAGTGACGTCACTCTATTGTGTCGCCAGGCTCTCCTTCTACCGAGTAAACCTCTACGGGCAGTTTCACGGGCATTCTCCAAGAAATCCCAGGGATTTTCTACAGAATTGCCCGGGAATTTTAGCCCTGAGTAAAATAGCCCTTGACTTTGAATTATTTTATTTGTACATGTTTTGAAGATTGATGTAACTTTGTCTGGCTATTACTGAATATGATCGTAAAATATCACAGAGCTGAAAACTTATATTGTGCTGATGCCTGGTTTCGAACCTGCAACCCTTCGCTTACTAGTTTGGCGGTTTTATCCACTAGGCTACAAGGGATCGCTATGAAGACCGTTCTTGTTTGTCAGCATGAACCATGTGTTCCTCACAAGATGGGGACTGTGTGCAGAGCACATGCTTTGCGCGTGCAAGGCACGCTGCCAGTCGCATCCCAGTTGATTTCAACAGCAATTAGAAAATATTAAAAGTATATCTTCGGTCGGTTTATAAGTTGGATCCTAACCTCCTCCTCGGTTTTGTTAGAAAAAGTAAGCCCTTGGCCTCTGAAAATTGGGGAGGGTTGATCCTTCACTACCAACCTGACATTGTGAAGTTCTTGTAGTGTTTCTTCAGCAGGAATTCTTGATATTTTTTAGCAGACCATGGTTTGTTTGGAACTGTCTTTTGAGGATCAAAGGTCAGTAAGTCAGCAGCAGTTCCTCCAAGACGCAGATAGCATGGTGCCAAACCATGAGCTAGGTTTGCAGTTTTTTCCAGAACATTATTGAGAAAATCTTTGTTTCCTAATACTGATAATAGAATGTTAAGATAGGTGTTACATTATGTAGAAAGGTACTCAATATGGGAGGCAACTCTTGTAGGCTTAAGAATGAACATTACTACATCAAGAGTTATCTCCCCTGGTGTATCAGACGGCTTCCTTTGTTGACATGGCAGATTTGACAGCAGAAGAGAAAAGAAAGCTGGTTCTAGATGATTTTGAAAGAGGTGTGACTAATGCAAAAGAGTTAGCAGGTAGACATGACCCCCCCCCCCCCCAGGTGATGGTGATGTGTTCCCTCCCCCAGGTCATGTGTTCCCCTACCTCAGGTGATGTGTTCCCTCCCCTAGGTGATGTGTTCCCCTCCCCCGGGCTGTGTTCCCCTACCCCAGGTGATGTGTTTCCCTTACCCTGGTGATGTGTTCCTCCCTACCCCAGGTGATGTGTTCCCTCCCCCAGGTGATGTGTTCCCCTAACCCCAGGTGATGTGTTCCCCTACCCCAGGTGATGTGTTTTCCTACCCTAGGTGATGTGTTCCCCCTACCCTAGAGTGAGTGAGTGATGTGTTATTCCAGCAGGTGATGCATGGGGACCCCAGATGTGTTCCCCTTCCCACATGTGTTCCCGGTCTTTGTGACGAGCAAGGCTTTAACCCTAGGCTACCCCCACCACCCAGGTGATGTGTTTCCCCTACCCCCCAGGTGATGTGTTCCCCTACCCCAGGTGATGTGTTCCCTACCCCTTGTGATGTGTTCCCTACCCCAGGTCATGTGTACCCCTACCCCAGGTGATGTGTTCCCTACCCCAGGTGATTTGTGACACCCCTACCCCAGGTGATTTGTTCCCCACCCCAGGGGCTGTGTTCCCTACCCCAGATGATGTGTCCCCCTACCCCAGGTGATTTGTTCCACTACCCCAGGTGATGTGATTCCTACCCGAGAGGTTTGTGTGGCCCCTACCTTCTAAATGCTTGTGTTTCTCTCCATCTGTGAATGTTATAATGACAGATAGTACCTATATATCGTGTACAGTGTTCACGAATAGTGTCTGACCCTCTGACAAATCCGTCAGATTCGCCAACGGTCAGACAGAAGTCTACAACCCGCCGGCCCCAGTGTCTGACTGTATATTTCACAATGACTTTGACTGAAGTTGTTTTATGTGACATGTGACACTTGTTTGCTGTTTATAAATCTTATGTTTGTTAATAATTTCAATGTCAATTATAAGAAATATTAAATCTGAAATGTGTGTTTAATTTTATTCCATGGGTCCTGTGTATTTTCAATGGGTCAGACAGACATCTGAAACTTACAGGACCCAATGTCCTGTGACTTTGAAACACCATTCGTGAACACTGCGTATCGTGCATCTATACTTACCCAAAATCAAATTTCAGCCATCCTTCCTGAATGAGGTGTGAATCTAGGGTCACAGCAACAAATTTTTCATCGATCACCTGCAGAACACTGTTGAACTCAACGTTTACCTCAGTTGCAAAACTAGCTTGAAATCCGTTCATCACGTAAGTTAATACGATGTGCAAAACCCTGATAAGAAATGCGTCCATATTTATGCTGTAATCGTTGATGACTCAGGGGGTATCACGTGAGAGTCTTGTGAGTTTTGATTTTGTTTGTTATCAAAAGCCAGGAAACAAGGATGTATTCAATTTGCTGATATTGTGGGCCCGAGTGTCACGTGTATGTCTTCAACTTAACATGCTAAGTAAATGAAAGCAAGAGATGTTTTTGTAAATGCTTTCTTTATGATGCTTTTTACACAGAAATTGAGGCATAATGTAGGAATGTAATTTTCATTCACGGGCTATATCGTTTGTAGTACCGTATGTACACATACATGTCTTGTTTACATGCCATTTACACACTGGGTTTATACCGGAAGTAAACACTGCCGGTCACGCCCTCTTGGACGAGAAACATAACTCTTGCAAGACTGTGAACATTTGAATCACACATAAAATATCAAATTGACGTCATTCATGTAGACAATACACGACATATTCGACAGTGCAAAAAATACCAAGTATCACCCAGGCGTAAAGTGACCCTAATATCCCATCAATACGATCTCAATCTGATGTTGTGAGTAGGTTTTAGTTTCGGCATGAAAGGATATACATAAATATAATTTGTAAGCGACGATGGTTAAAGGGAGATAACTTTTGGTACCCTTAATGTTAACACGCCTCGAAATGGCTTTTGTTGTACGCGTCGCAACTGTGACTCTTTCTGTGGATATTTCTGCTGATCACGTGAAGCAGTGTATGTGAAAATGCAGTTCACCAAAACCATTCCTTAGAGTTACAAATTTAAGTGTTTTAAATGTAATCATGTCATGCACGTTAAGGCTTTATATTCCAATTAATAAAAGAACAAAATATTTCGATAACGCTATAGTACTTGTTTCCATTCACCCAGACGTTTCGGGACCGGTTACTTTTCATTCTTATACTATTGGGTTAATCCTGACTGATGCTTATAATGTGATGTTACACGTACAGGTAATACTGGTGTTGACACTGGTGTTGGTGTCGATACCCCTAGTGGTGAGACTGTTGATGGTGATGATACCCCTAGTGTTGACACTCGATTGAGTGGTGAGACTGTTGATGGTGTCGATACCCCTAGTGGTGAGACTGCTGTTGTGATGATACCCCTAGTGTTGACACTGTTATGGTGTTGATAACCAAGTGATGAGACTGCTGTTGTGATGATACCCCTAGTGTTAATACTGTTATGGTGGTGATAACCCTCGTGGTGATACTGTTGTTGTGATGATACCCCTAGTGTTAATACTGTTATGGTGTTGATAACCCTCGTGGTGATACTGTTGTTGTGATGATACCCCTAGTGTTAATACTGTTGTTGTGATGATACCCCTAGTGTTAATACTGTTATGGTGTCGATAACCTCGTAGTGATACTGTTGTTGTGTTGATACCCCTAGTGTTAATACTGTTGTTGTGATGATACCCCTAGTGTTAATACTGTTATGGGGTCGATAACCCCTCGTGGTGATACTGTTGTTGTGATGATAACTCTAGTGTTAATACTGTTGTTGTGATGATACCCCTAGTGTTAATACTGTTATGGTGTTGATAACCCTAGTGGTGATACTGTTGTTGTGATGATACTAGTGTTAATACCCCTAGTGTTAATACTGTTATGGTGTTGATAACCCTAGTGGTGATACTGTTGTTGTGATGATAACCCCCTAGTGTTAATACTGTTGTTGTGATGATACCCCTAGTGTTAATAATACTCTGTTATGGTGTTGATAACCCTAGTGGTGATACTGTTGTTGTGATGATACCCCTAGTGTTAATACTGTTGTTGATAACCCTCGTGGTGATACTGTTGTTGATGATACCCCTAGTGTTAATACTGTTATGGTGTCGATAACCCCTCGTGGTGATACTGTTGTTGTGATGATAACTCTAGTGTTAATACTGTTGTTGTGATGATACCCCTAGTGTTAATACTGTTATGGTGTTGATAACCCTCGTGGTGATACTGTTGTTGTGATGATACCCCTAGTGTTAATACTGATATGGTGTTGATAACCCTCGTGGTGATACTGTTGTTGTGATGATACCCCTAGTGTTAATACTGTTGTTGTGATGATACCCCTAGTGTTAATACTGTTATGGTGTTGATAACCCTAGTGGTGATACTGTTGTTGTGATGATAACCCTAGTGTTGACACTGGTGTTGGTGTTGATAACCCTAGTGGTGATACTGTTGTTGTGATGATACCCCTAGTGTTAATACTGTTATGGTGTCGATAACCCTCGTGGTGATACTGTTGTTGTGATGATACCCCTAGTGTTAATACTGTTATGGTGTTGATAACCCTCGTGGTGATACTGTTGTTGTGATGATACCCCTAGTGTTAATACTGATATGGTGTTGATAATCAAAATGGTGATACAGTTGTTGGTGATGATACCCCTAGTGTTAATATATCGTGTTGATAATCCAAGTGGTGATACTGTTGTTGGTGATGATAACTCTGGTATTGATACTTTTTTTTGGTGGTGATAAACATTCTGAAGTGTAGTATGATATGCTATATCTAGCTGTGGTATTATATCCAGTGTCATTCCATGGTGTCGCGTCGCTATCCTTTGCTGTTGTGTAATATGCTGTGCTATGCTGTGGTCGGATTTAGTGTGCTGTGCTATATCTTGCTGCAGTGAACGATCCTGTGATATATCATGTTGTGTTGTAATATATTGCTGTGTAATAATATGCTGTGCTATGCTGTGGTCGGATTTAGTGAGCTGTGCTATATCTTGCTGCAGTGAACGATCCTGTGATATATCATGTTGTTGTGTAATATACTGTGATGTATCATGCTGTTGTATAATATGCTGTGTCATGCTGTGGTCGGGTTTAGTGAACTGTGCTGTATCTTGCTGCAGTGAACCATACTGTGATATATCATGCTGTTGTGTAATATACTGTGATATATCGTGCTGTTGTGTAATATGCTGTGTTATGCTGTGGTCGGGTTTAGTGAACTGTGCTGTATCTTGCTGCAGTGAACCATACTGTGATATATCATGTTGTTGTGTAATATACTGTGTTATGCTGTGCTGGTTTAGTGAACTGTGCTATATCTGTGCTACAGTGAACCATGCTGTGCTATATCTTGCTGCAGTGTACCATACTGTGATGTATCATGCTGTTGTATAATATGCTGTGTCATGCTGTGGTTGGGTTTAGTATGCTGTGCTATATCTTGCTGCAGTGAACCATACTGTGATATATCATGCTGTTGTGTAATATACTGTGATATATATATCATGCTGTTGTATAATATATGCTGTGTCATGCTGTGGTCGGATTTAGTATGCTGTGCTATATCTTGCTGCAGTGAACCATACTGTGATATATCATGTTGTTGTGTAATATACTGTGATAAATATCATGCTGTTGTATAATATGCTGTGTCATGCTGTGGTCGGGTTTAGTATGCTGTGCTATATCTTGCTGCAGTGAACCATACTGTGATATATCATGCTGTTGTGTAATATACTGTTGTGTAATATGCTGTGCTATGCTGTGGTCGGATTTAGTGTGCTGTGCTATATCTTGCTGCAGTGAACGATCCTGTGATATATCATGTTGTTGTGTAATATACTGTGATGTATCATGCTGTTGTATAATATGCTGTGTCATGCTGTGGTCGGGTTTAGTGAACTGTGCTGTATCTTGCTGCAGTGAACCATACTGTGATATATCATGCTGTTGTGTAATATACTGTGATATATCGTGCTGTTGTGTAATATGCTGTGTTATGCTGTGGTCGGGTTTAGTGTGCTGTACTATATCTTGCTGCAGTGAACCGTCCTGTGATATATCATGCTGTAGTGTAATATACTGTGATATATCATGCTGTTGTGTAATATGTAATATGTCCTGTGCTGTCTTCCCAGATGTGCTGTGCTGAGTGGACACTGAAACATCAACCTGGCTGTCTTTGGCTGAAATACATTATCCATATGAATGATACAAATTGTTACCAATTGTTGTTGATTTCAGCACCAAACATTCCTGGTGAATATATACTGTAGACAGCGGCGCTTTACGCCTGCAATTGCCAGTGTTTATTGCAGTCAATCAGACAAAAGAGAGAGGCTGACATTTTCCATTAAAATGACCGACTGAAAACACACTGACCACTGACACTTAGAGATTTATCTAAGTGAGGTGAAAGTCTCAGTGCTCGGACACACCTCGTTTAGCCCCAACATAATGGATAAACAAAGCACGCATGCGCATGACACTGATGAATGGGTTTATGGGTTTTCCAGGCTGCAGGAAGCGCTGATTCCCGCCAATCTTTCTTTAGCATTGACAAACATGAAAATATACTGTGAGTAAATAAACGACGCACTCAGTACATATATCTGTGTTTATACTATTGTTTCTTTATAAACGAATGTGAATATGTGTTCCAACAACTGCAATCACAACACTGTTGTTATACTTATGTTCCAATGAAACTGCAACTACAACAACAACAGCTGCTGTCGTCAATGCTGCTCCTAATCTACTACATACCCTGAATGGTTGTTACTGCTGCACTGCTGTTGTTGTTTCTACTACTGGTATTAAATTTCTGTTGCTGCCTCTTCTAGTACTTAACCAATGTTGCTGTTTCTAGTACTAAATCACTGTTGCTGTTTCTACTACTAGTACTAAATCACTGTTGCTGTTTCTAGTACTAGTACTAAATCATTGTTGCTGTTTCGACTACTAGTACTAAATCACTGTTGCTGTTTCTAGTACTAAATCACTGTTGCTGTTTCTAGAACTAAATCACTGTTGCTGTTTCTACTACTAGTACTAAATCACTGTTGCTGTTCTACTTCCAGTACTAAATCAATGTGGTTGGTTCTTTTGGCAAACAGCATATGCAGCTTCTACTAGTACTAAAAGGCCATTTTCTGCTACTTTACCCGTACGGTTTGATTTGTTCTGATACAACCTTCAGAAGTTATGGTACTTTTAACGTTTTCTCCAGACAGTGACCTTCAACAACAATTTATGGAATCTAGTGAAATTATCAAATTAAACCATATAGCTACTGGAAGATCAAACCACAAACTGTGATCATAGTTGACACTCTCAAGAAATCAGTCAGCAGCTCATACCGTGTGTATTCTGGAACAACGTGAGTTCAAGCTGACATTTTGGACCACAAAGGGTGTTTACTATTTTTATATATAGAGAGGTTTCTTTCACAGATACGTATTTTTCTAGCTCTACCTAGGACAAACAAATGCCTGCGATGCACCGGAGGGGTATTCCAGTATTGTCTACGGGTATTGCGTAGAGGTGTCTCAGTCGTTCCTGTAGACGTAGTTGTAAACTGTTGCCC